TTCCTTATTTATTAACCGATTCACTTCTAATTTGGCATACCAACAGTACATATGTAGCTCTTAAATTTGGCTTGTTGAATTTTTTTTATATATGCTTTAGTTTTTATTTTATGACATTTACAATTGAGATGTTGCGAAAAAAAATTTTAAAATGGAAAATTCATGCTTTCTAAGTCCATAAATCAAAAACTACTACATTAATAAAAAAATCAACAATGCCAAAATTTAGAACTAGGTGTTGTTTGTATCCTGTGAAAGTTACATTAAAATTGAATAAGAAACAGAGCAGAAAAATGGGATAATATGTGAAAAAGTAGAATAGTGAGAAAACAGCCGATACAGGTAAGAAAATGCTAGACAACATGCGCTTTCGCCGAAAAACCTGACACAAAAACACAGCTTTAGGGTGTAGCAAGGCTTACATACGTTTCTGGATATTGTTCAGGAAGTGTCCAGGTACTATAATATGTAATAAACCCAATTTACAAAATTTGACCCCCAAACACGATTTCTAGGTGCCCCACCAGCCCTTAAACTTCGTGCACCACCAGGCCTTGCTACACAATAGAGGGAGACAACAGTTTCGATACCCATTCTTCATTGAGTTATCGTAGACTCTACTAGTGTAGTAGATAGGCTCGCGGAAACTTGGATCAAATTTTTAGCTTGCACCAAATTGGTGCTGTGAAGAGAGGTTTCATAGTTTCATGTACCTTTCTTCTTGTGCGGGAAGAGCGATGCCTCGACTTTTCTACAGGGACAAAAATAATTTTGGTGCAAAGATTTTGCTTGCTCCCAGCAGACACTACCGCAAGCGGTGCGACCAGCATAAACCATCCTCGACGTCTGTCTCTTCACTGGCGCAGCCAGCAGGTGAAGGATCGCATGGCCTAGCCTAATGTAGATCTAGAGCACTGACTGGTTTAGAACAGTTAGAAAAAGGGGGAGGGGGTGGGGGGAAATGATAGGTTTAGGGGGAGCGCTAGCACCAATTGGACCAATGGCGCCCAATAACTGAAGATGAAAATGAGGTAACTTTCTCAGTCATTACAGAGGACGAGAACACTGAGTTTACACTTAAACCTGCGTCTGTGGTATAGCAATCGGACGCTTCACTGTCGCACACAGCGGGCTCGAGTTCGATTCCTGTGTGGAGAGAAAATTCCTATCGAGTATTGTCGGTCTTTTAGCTAGGATAGTGTATCCCTCTCGTGGGCTAGAGGTTAAGGTATTCGCCTCTCATTCAAAGGTCGAGGGTTCGAATACGGGTAGTGATCGAAGACTCTTCTTCTCTAAAATTGTCTCCTTTCACCTCCTTTCCCGCTCTCTAGCAATGTTTTGTCGTCTGCTTTCGTCCCCACTTTCTTTCCACACGCCCTCATCTCCTTTGCCTCCTCCTCTGGGCACTTGACTCTTTCTGCAGCCTTTCTATTGCTACTCCTTAGCTCCTTTTTACTGCTGTCGTTCAGCCACACCCCTGATCTTCTGCTAGAAAAGATCTTCACCTAGCATTCTCGGACAAGGGCGAAAAATCTTGGAGGTCCCGTGTGCAAGTTGCGCATGTTAAAGATCCCTTGGTAGTCTAAAATCGATAGGAGTAGGCTTCGGCCGCCTCTCGGGCAAATTCAAAATTTCCTACCAACTGAAAAACGTTTAATGTGTCCCGCACGCTTATATGACATCATGCAGTTGCGAGCGCCGTAAAAGTTACAACAACAAAAAAAATAATAACCCCCGCCTCCTCAATGATCTAAACTGTCCCGATGGAGGCGTAACAAATCATCATCCAGTGCCAGATCTGCGACAGACATCGGTGATCATGGTTCTCCATTCATTCCTTTGCTCGGAGGCTCTAAAAAAGGCTAGGTTTCCCTGGCCTGATCTTTCCCCGTTACCCATTTGTTTAGGTTCCCTAAGTATGTTGCTCTGGACCTACCCCTGCCTCGTTTGCCTTCAGTTTTGCCAGTGAGAGCTAGATGTTCAAGACCCTTATGTCTATTCAGGTGTCCCAAAAACTGCATTTGTTTGTCGTTCCCTGATTGTTTTTAGGACCCTTGTTTTTAACATTGAGCCACATAACAAATGCCCACATTTTTAAAAAGAGCACATCAACTCACCAGAGACCACCATCCCGAAACAGAGAACGACTCAGCTTGGATATCCTGAAAAGAAAGACACGGAGACGTCAAACTCTTTGTTATAGTGAAAGAATAGTAACCCAATGAAAATCGAATGTGGCGATTTTGTAGGCGCGTATTTGTGTCTTTTAGCGCACTAAGGGGAGTATGCGCGCGCGTGTGTGTGTGTGTGTGTGTGTGAGTGTGTGTGTGTGTGTGTGTGTGTGTGTGTGTGTGTGTGTGTGTGTGTGTGTGTGTGTGTGCTCGTGTGGGTGTGCGTGTGTGTGTGCGCACATAATATATGTACGTGCGTGTGAGAGTGTGTGTGAGAGTGTGTGTGAGAGGGGGAGTGTGTGTGTGTGTGTGTGTGTGTGTGTGTGTGTGTGTGTGTGTGTGTGTATGTGTGTGTGTTTGTGTGTGTGCTTAATTGTGTATGATTTGATCCATACCATTAAAGAGTGGCCAGACTTTTAATGCGGGTTGGGTAAGGGGGAGGGTTATCATCTTGGTTTAATCCAGTCCAGCGCTCCAAAATCAAACTTGTTATTTTTCCTAGGTCACGATCGGATGCATTTGATGAAAATCGTGGCGATCAGCCAATCAGAAGGCTACTACTTGTCATATATAACATTGCGAGGTCAGATCTTCCGCTATCGCGCAGACTTCGAGTCAAATCTGACGTAGCAAAAAAAAAGTCTATTTGATATGGAATGCACCAGCCAGTGCCATCTCTTGACCAGGCCCGATCCGATCAAATCTGATCACTCAGATCGAATCAATCTGACAAATGGGCACTCCTCCTAACGCCCGGCCGGGGCGGGACAGGGACAGTGTAGACCATGAAAACCTGGAAACTCGTGACCGCTTTGGCAGCACGGGCAAGAGGAGAGGAAAACATGAGGAATTCACTGTGTCTGTGTTGTTTCACGTTTTAGTAAGTGTTTTACGGCACTTACAACACAATAAGGTCATATCATTCTGTCCCCGTCGTTTTATGCAAGAAAAATTCAGAAATTATGCAAACTGAGCCCAAAACTGAGAAATTATGCGATTCTGTTAATTTTAACAAAGAATTATAAAGGAAAATAATAAGAAATGATGCAAAAAATTATCAAATTTTGCTAAATTATGCGGGGTGCATAAAACCACGGGGACAGTCATATAAGTGCCGAAGATTAGAGGTGTTACAAGAGAGTAACGAACACAAAAAAGAAGGAGGGGAGATACAGACGATTGATGTTTGAAAGGAAAGAAGAAGCAAACCACACCAGAGCACCAGCCAACCACCGACGTTTCGTCTCAGCCCGAGATGGCCGTGGCGGGCAATGTCGAGCAGGCTGCCCCGCTAGATGATTGAAACTTGTTTTCCTGACTTCATTATTACTAGTGTTATTTATTTTTTTCAAATTTTACTTTATTTTATATCTACGGTGGGGGGGGGGGGGGGGG